TTATAAATTAATTTAATATAAGAAATATATGTTGGTGAGGGGTTTTTCGAACCTGCTTCGTCCAAGATGAAGCCACCATGCCGAGGTTTTTTCCTGGGCCGGTCCTCATCCTCTTCCTCCTCTTCGTCATATTCCTCCTCATCCTCCAAATCTTCTCCCTCCTCCTCAGCAGCCTTGTCACTGCCAGTTATACTGCCCTGATTGTGAGGGAGATTGTGATGTGAGGGATGTGCTTTTGACCATAGTACAGGCAAATCTAGATCCGTACTCGCAGTTCTTGGATAAAATAAGCTTCAAAATAGACGAGACATTATGCAGTGCCATCTGGCTAAGACTATTTACCAATAAAATTGGAAGAGTTGGAAAAAATAAGCAAATAGACTTGGAATAAATATTATACATTACAAAAGACTACAAATACATACCAGGGGTGTCAATTGGGTATGGCGGCTACCATACCTTCGCTGGCTGGTCAGGTCAGGTCAATGCAAGTAATATATTTTTATTGCCGGATTAACAGAGTTAAATTACTATGTATGTCTAAAATAATGTGTATTGTTAAATAAAACTTGTAAATTAAAGCGATCTGGTTGTTATATTCATGTCATGCGAGTTCAACGGCGCTGCCAAAGTGTCCATTTACAACATGATTGTGCAGTGTTAAGTATTGTAGCAAATCAATCGAGGATTTTTGTTTAAAAAATAATGTACAATCAGTGCTGTTTAAATTACCAGTAGTGAGAATCTGCTCAATATCTCTCAAAACACTGAATGAGTTTATATATAGCAAGTTTACTAAGTTCTGCACATGCACAAATCCTCAAAATAGCAAAACGGAGACACAGCGAACAAACTTAAATAAAACAAAAGATTCATAGTTTTCGCACTCAATGAGTTTGCGCTGAACTGACTGACAGCTTCAGTGATTATAAAGGAAGCGCTCAATACACACTCTCTAATTTCATTCGCAATTTGGAGAAAAGCTTTGGTTTTTCATGAGACTTTGTAACTTTTCCTACATACTTCAGAACAAAAAAAGGACAAGTGATTGCTGGTCTCTATTCTCCTGGCTATAGTGGTAATTTAACATCTTTTTAGATTTTTAAAATGTTACATCAAGTGGTTTCCTGCATTGCAAAACTTTTTTTTTTTTTTTTTTTTACAAATGAGTACAGTTTTTACAATTGAGGGCACGCTTTGAAAGATGAACAAAAAATGTTTTTGGGCATCACATTAAAAATAACATTCAAATTGGATAATATTCAGACTTTTGAGCTTTGAAGTGCTGGAGTTGTGTTTTCTGAAGTAGCCTACTTGAAAGTGGGACTGTCATGTCGAAAGAGTAAAAATGGATGATGTCACCAGAGTCTGCCATCCCTCGGCTTATATGTATATATATTTGAAGATCCGTGGTAAGTTAAAGCACGGTTCTGGCTACCATACAAATGTACATATAGACTTCCAGCTGTTTTATGATAAACACATTGAAGGAGGAGCTGTTTGTCTCACCTCATTCTCTTCCACCTCCTCAGCTTCCTCGGCCTCGCTGCTCCCAGCACTCTGATTATCGGAGAAATCACTGTCTTCGCTGTCGGACATCTCTTTGTTTTCTTCTTTCCGTGTTATCCAGACGAGAATACTACTGGATAAACCACATAAATTACACGTAAAATGCAATTAATACATAACAAGGACAAATAGATGGAAGATTCGATCATGGACATCACACTAATACATGCTAGAAGAATGTGCACAAAGCGAATGATGCGAGTCAAGACGTTTAGGCTGCGATTTGATTAAACACAGTGTGTTAGCTCGTTCCTAGCGTATGCATAACACGACTTGCATGTTTAAACCCACAGATAAACATTAATAGTCTATCTAGTTGGGTCCGGTTTTCTTGCATTTTATTTGTTTACGGTGATGTGATGTGCTCTAGCTAATGCTGCTAAATCCAGCCGATAAGGTATTAGCACATGAGCTGGATAACCTACACCTTATTTTACAAATAAAACTCCGTCGTTTAATTGCGACAGACATGTCTTAATTCATCACAAAACCCATATACCGCTAAACATATTATTAAAAACGAGAAAAAGGTCTTCTTACCCTTAAACAGCTGTCTGGTTTTGCTTCTATCAGGTAGCGAAGGCCAATGTTGTTTTCTTTCCTTAAACTTCCGTAAGCAACACGCAGAGCGAGAGCTGCACTGCGCCCTCTCGTGCTTGGGAGGAAACCCATGGTGTTGCACGCAAAGGTTGTGGTGCAAGAACTTTATCCTGTATTTAGTTGCTGATTAACAATCAGTACCTGTTTAAACTTGAGTTTTCCTCCTGATAACGTCTTTTAGAGCCAACAAAGGTAGGTACAAAAAACAAAAAAACCTCTACACTCACATGTTGTGTGATGACGTGCACTTCAAGGTAGGCTACTGGAAATGTGTAAGATTTTTACTACTTCACACAATTCCTTGTTGTAAGAAAATTAAATATATACTAAAAATGTAGATTTTCAACGCAAACCTGTTACCACATGGTCAAAAAACTTTGCTTTAAATCTCCCTTTTGTTTGAAATTGTGAAAAGAAAAATTGTGAAGGCCAAGAAATAACCTGTTACCGTACTTAATTTAGAAGATTTCATTGTAAGGTTTAACATGGTTAACATTTACATGGTTACTGGTTTTAGGAAATGCCTTTTTTTGTGTCTGTTTTGTTAGCGCTACAAAAAAATATTTGGAGGAAAGTTTGTCAAAATATGTCAAAGCAAGGCAAGGCAAGTTTATTTATAGCACATTTCATACACTATGGCAATTCAACGTGCTTTACAGAAAGGAATGAAACTAATCACAAAATAAAAGGAAGGAAAATTTAAACAGTTATGCCATGTCAGTTAGCCATGTCCCTGAAATACTTGAAGGCTGCCAAATCCCTTTCATGTCATGAAGTAGAATGTTGTGTTGAAATCAGTCAACATGTATGTGAGACTCTTAACCATGTATTGATATACTATACATTTAAAGTTATGTAGTTTTGTTCTCTGCAAAGTTATAGACCATCTGTTAAGGTCAAATTGTTGTAGCCTAAGTGAAACTTTTCAGATTGCAGCAACTTTATACAGTTTTGCTGGTGGGCATGAATCATAGTATTTTTATGTTTGTGGCGGCTGCAGACATTCTGCATATTCCGGGTTGCATTATGCATGTGTGCTTTTTATATGCGAACATCATGGCCGAACTGCTGATCATCAAATAAACCATGCAATGCATTAAGGTATTGTGAAACATACCTCAGTTTTTGGAAATGCGGGTAACTAACCCTGATAATCATCAAGGTAAACAGAAAATGTAAGGGAAAGACTACAATACCTAAATCAAAAGCACTAAACTAAACTAATCCAACAGAGCACTGCTTTAGCACCTGGTTTTGGGTGATCTTTCATTAAAGTTCATCAAATTATTCTTTTTAGCAGACTCTTTCTTGATCAAAATTACAGAGCAGGGAGAAAGTATAGGGGGGCGGTTTCCCGGACAGGGTTTAAATTAAGCCTACTAAGCCTATTAACAACCTGGACAATGGAGTCCTGAACTAAAATAAACCAGACTCATTTAGAACCAACTCTGCTAATCTGAATTAGAATGACAGAGGTTGCCTATAAAACCTGGAATAGACCAAGGAAAAACTTAAAGGGTTAGTTCACCCCAAAATGAAAATTCTGTCAGTAATTACTCATGTTGTTCCAGCCCCGTAAGACTTTCGTTCATCTTCGGAACACAAATTAAGATATTTTTGATTAAATCTGAGAGCTGGATCACTCCTCCATAGGCTTCTTAAGATCGAAACTGGCCGGCCCAAAAGTTATTAAAGACATCGTTAAAATAGTCCGAGTGACTACAGTGGCTCAACCTTAAGTTTATCAAGCGACGAGAATACCTTTTGTGCGCAGAAAACAAACAAAAATAACTACTTTATTCAACTATCCATTTCCTTCTCTGTGGGCCTCGAGATTTCACGCAGTGGAACTGTTCTGTGTTGTACGTCACACGTAGGCTCACTATTAGCCAACGCTGGTCATGTGTGTGATGCGTCATGCGTGTGACGTACAACCTAGAAGCTTTGCGCAGTTTCACTACGTGAAATCTCGAGGCCAACAGAGAAGGAAATGAATAGTTGAATAAAGTCGTGATTTTTGTTTGTTTGAACATGAGGGTGAGTAATTACGGACATAATTTTCATTTTGGGGTGAACTAACCCTTTAAAATTGCATAGAACTGCAGCAAATCCAAGGAAAACAATGACAGCAGAAAAAAACTTCAAGCTGTAGAATCTACGAAGCCCCAAAGGGACATGAAGGAAAAATAATATGAAATGGGAGAAAAAATGTATTAATCAATGCTTTTGCGTTCCCTCGAGACACTTTGTGTTTACAAAAATATTGTGAGCAAACGCAGTTTCCTACTCTACCCACTCTGAGCAGGATTCGAACCAGGGACTCCAGCATGGAAGGTAAATGTGTTAACAAGGACGCTAGTTTCTAGTGTCAGTCACTATTGCATCTCTTGAGACCTGTTAAATCCATCCATCCATCCACACACACACACACACACACACACACATATATATAAACATGGGAAACCGCCCAAATAACTTTATTTGTCAATAACCCAAAGCCATCAATGATTAGCCAATAATGTGTAACAATGTATTACTTACTGGCTATTTATTGACAAGATGGCATGTAACAAAAGGTCAACATTTGTTCAATAAACACGTTTTATCACATTTTATGGCCCATACTCATGCTTTTCCTAATTAAATTTCTATTAAGATGCATTAAACTTGTTAAGGCAACAGTCATTATTTTTTCAGAAGAATACTACTGTAATTCTCAAACCAACCAATTGCATAGCTACTCAGCAATCATTTATAGTCAAATAAATAAATAACAAAAAAAGTTCTGGATTCCTGGATTTTTTTTGTCAAAGCAGACAGTGTAGCAAATATTCCATAAAAGTAATTTATTTAAGAAAATATATCTTTGCATGTTTTGGATACAGATGGATATGTACTGTAGGTAGTAGCTTAGTATAATGGTGTCTGTTTCGCCATTCAGAAACTTCTCCAGAACCGCTTCAGGGATCCACAGAGCTGCTCCTTCAGATCATGTTCTTCATGTTTTTTTCCATCAAGTTCTCTAAATGTCTCTTAACGGTCCTCGGAGCGCAACTTTTTCCAGCATTCATCATTTGTAAAAAGTTTTGTAATTCTTCCAAAAAAGTACCTGCTCTTTGTTCTTGGTAGAGCTCACACTCTGGGCATGACTTCATCTTGTCCTGTAACTTAATAGGGTATTATGTAATGAGGTTAGGGCACAGCAGAGGAAGTGTCTTGCAGATAACTTAACATTTCCATAGACAATGTAATTTATAATTCACAAAATCATACATGAATTTGTGTGAATCTCATGAAAACATTTCCAGATTCTTTTACACAATTTTTAATTAACAGCAACCACCCAGAACATCTGCTTAGCAACACCCTAGCAACCATCCAGAACACCTTTTATAGCAAACAACCACATAGCACAGCAGTCTATCTGTCTAAAAGACTGCATGGCCTAAAAAAACTTCAAACTTTGAGCATTTAAAGGACAAGTTCGGTATTTTACACTTAAAGCCCTGTTTCAAGATCGTTTCTGATGAAATAGAACGGTTAAGATTAAAATGTGGACACATGCTGCTGTCCCGAGAAATTTCGGTTTCTACAATGGTTGCATAGGTGCACAGAAACAATCCTTCCTAAAACGCATTAAACTTTAGTTTACAAAGACGTTAAACTCACCGAGTGGTCTGGGGTGTTCACTGATATGCTCACACAAAAATCGCTGCAAAAGATGCTTTCCAACAGGTTTTATCGTAGTTTTTGAACAACCCCATTTTACTTGACTTGGACAAAAACTACGATAAAACCTGTTGTAAAGCATCTTTTTTTGTGTGAGCATATCAGTGAACACCCCTGACCCCTCGGTGAGTTTCACGTCTTTGTAAACTAAAGTTTAATGCGTTTTAGGAAGGATTGTTTCTGTGCACCTATGCAACCATTGTAGAGGTGGGGGAGGTGCAACCACAGAAACCGAAATTTCTCGGGCCAGCAGCATCTGTCTAAATTTTAATCTTAACCGTTCCATTTCATCAGAAACGATCTTGAAACAGGGCTTTAAGTGTAAAATACCGAACTTGTCCTTTAAAGCTACTTAAAACTGCTTCAAAATTCAAGCTTTTAAAACTACACTGAAAAAAATTGGTGTAGGATTTATTTAAAAAAAATTATAATCAGAAATTGCTGGTAAATTTCACAAATAATTACAATGAAATGATAAGTATTGAATTAAACACGAAATGTTGAAATAGAGATACTGAAATAGTATTTTCTTGTAAAATATACTCAAATACTGTTTTATAGCTCAAACAGTAGAGCGTTGCCGCTTGCAACACGAAGGTCATCATGGGTTCAATTCCCAGGGAAAGCAAGAACTGATAAGAATGTAAAATGTGTACCTTGAAATGCAGTGAGTCGCTTAGTTTAAAAGCGTCTGCCAAATGCATAAATGTAAATTTACAACTTTGAAAACATATTTTACAGTCTACTTCAAACTTTTTGGCTATGCTTTCTAGAATCAACATCAAAGTTCATTTACCAGGTTTACTATTACCAGGTTTATTTACCTTGTATCTATTATGGGTTATTTACAGCTTAAATGTATGGGTTGCATGCTGTAGATTATTGCAGGAAATAATTTCAGCTCATCCCTCAGTAAAAACAAATAGAAAACGTGAGCAGTAATACATTTAGGGCAGTCGTGGCCTAATGGTTAGAGAGTCAGACTGGTAACCCTTAGAAAAAAAAAAAAAAAGTTTATTCAAGTCTGTTATTAGTATAGTTATTTTAAACTAAAAATAAGAAAGTATACTTTCAGTCTACGTTTCATGTTCTTCTCAGAAATATACTTTATTTACTTCTCAGAAATATATTTAAAATTGCACTTAAGTATACTTGAATTATACTGACAGAAAAGCGTAAGTATATTTGGCCTATACTCAATCTTTTGATCGAGATATACTTACAAGTATAATTAAGTATTCTAAGTATACATGGCTTGTAGTTGTGTTTACTCTTTTGTTTGAGTAACCTATTAAATACTTATTTCACATAGTCTTAAATCAAAAAATTGATTTATAAAGAAACAGATATGTTCATAATCATAAGTATCTGGATTTTTGTGTAGGCTAGTCCACTGTATAGGACTTTACTTCAAATCTACTTTATTCTTTCCCCGCCATTGACTGAATTTTCTGCCTATCCATGTTTTCACTATTATACGGTAGGGGGCGCTATTACACATCTTCTGAAAGAGTACAGAATCCCCGGATCAAAGCACAGGTGAAGAAGAAGCAGGAACAAGTGATAGAAGATTGCTTACTCAAATGTAAAATAACATGAACAGCATATAAGTTCAAAACTGCCTAACGTTACCAAATGAAATGCCGAAAGGTTAACGACTGAAGCTAGAATAAAATGTTTTTAAAATGGGAAAAGTTAAAGTCAGGCTCTGCCGTTGTTTACGTTGTAAACACATTGCAGCGCTTCTGGGTTATATGTCAGAACGCCGGCTCAGTGTTGTCTGGGTCCTGCGTCAGCATCACACATAAGAACAAAAATTAGTTTTTTATTTTTATTTTGGCAGCAAACACTCAAGATGGGTTTCGTGCACACAGGGATAAAAAAATACCCCATGTGTAAAATGAAATACTCTGCTGTATCTTTAATGCTGTGGGCCTAATTTTCTGCCAGAGGTCCTGGACATCTTGTTCAGATACATGGCACCATGGATTCGATCAAATACCAACAGATAAAAAATCAAAACCTGACAGCCTGTGCTAGAAATCTTATAATGGGCCATGTTTGGATCTTCCAACAGGACAGTGATCCAAAAACAAACATGGGTCACTGGGCACAAAACCAAGCATCTGCAATGGCCATCCCAGACCCTGACCTGAACCCTATAGAAAATGAGTGGGCTGAACAGAAGAGAAGAAGCGTCAACATGGATCTGGGAATCTGAAGGATCTGGAGAGATTCTGTATGGAGGAATGTTCTCTGATCTCTTGTCAGGTGTTCTCCAAACTCATCAGGCATTATAGGAGAAGACTCAGAGATGTAATCTTGGAAAAAGGAGATTGCAAAAAGTATTTTTGTATCAGCCAGCAGCCATATCACCCTGTAGCCCAAGACTGGTTGCCCACTAAAGCTAAGCAGGGCTGAGCCTGGTTAGTACCTGGATGGGAGACCTAAGAAAACCAGGTTGCTGCTGGAAGAGGTGTTAGTGAGGCCAGCAGGGGGCGCTCACCCTGTGGTCTGTGTGGGTCCTAACGCCCCAGTATAGAAATGGGGACACTATACTGTCAAAGAGTACCGTTCCTAGAGACGTTAAACCGAGGTCCTGACTCTCTGTGGTCACAAAAAATCCCAGGATGTCTTTCGAAAGAGTAAGGGTGTAACCCCGGCATCCTGCCCAAATTTGCCCAGTGGCCTCTGTCCATCATGGCCTCCTAATCATCCCTATATATATATACCAATTGGCTTCATCACTCTGTCTCCTCTCCACCAATAAGCTGGTGTGTGGTGGGCGTCCTGGCGCACTATGTCTGCCGTCGCATCATCCAGCTGGATGCTGCACATTGGTGGTGGGTGAGGAGATTCCCCCTTCTATATAAAGCGCTTTGAGTGCAGAGAAAAGCGCTATATAAATGTAATGAATTAATTATTTAATAAAAGGGGGCAAATAATTGTTCCCAAAGTGTTTTGGAGAAAAATTTTTTTCATAATGTGATTTCCCCCCTACTTTCAATTCTTTTACTTCAATGAAAGGTTAGATTTTTGCTAATTTTTAAAATAAAATATCAAAAGGATTAACAATGCAGATTTATAGGCTATACTTAAAGTGCAAAAATGGCTATACTTAAAGTGCAAACATAATATATAAATAGTAAACTATAACTTATGATGTTATGTCCACTTAAAAAACAACAACTTGCAAGTTGCAATTTAAAACTACTAAACTAGTAGTTTACTAAGAGTATACTTTCGATGTACTTTCATAAACTAAAAAAATGTGCTACAAGTATTTGACAAGTAAATGATCATAATACCTATAAGTTCAAAAATAGAAAAACTTAGTTGTAAACTAGTTATGTACTCAAAGTTTACTATTACTATTGCAGTATATAAGTATAAATATAAAGTAGTGCAGAAAAAGTTCACTTACAAGTATACTTCTAGTACAATTATATTAGTATACTTACCACATAAAGCAGGGCTATTCAATTAGCTTCATTCGAGTGCCGGATTATTGAATCGAAAAGTTGAGGAGGGCCGGTGGGTTTAGCTGATTTATTGAAACATTATTTATTACTTATTGAAACATAACCGTATTAATAAATTAGCTAAATTAAACCAAAAAAGTATTGTATTTACTTGGAAATGTGGTACCCAACAGTATGCACATTTATAAGACCATAATAAATAACTTATTTACAGTTGTGTACAAATATATAAATTATACATGCTCATAGCTATTGGTAAGAAATATTTTATTCATAATTCTTATAGGCTTAAATTAAAAATTCTGACACTGAGACTTGGTAACCACAGGTAAAACCATGCATGGCTACTCATTTACTCACTACCACTATAGAGAAATGCCTAAACACAGGTAAAAACTATACACACAACGAATTATAAATTCCTCTACCCACCTAATAAATCTAATGCAATATAATTTACTATTAGGGTTGGGTATCGTTTCATTTTTAGCGATTCCAATTCCAATTCTGCTTATCGAATCCGGTTCTTATCGATTCGTTTCCGATTCCAATATTTTTTTGGAGAGAGAAAAAAGGGCAAATACTTGAAGAATAAATATTTCTACCTTTTATTCTTGCCAATTTTAAGCAATATCCAATAAAATGGCTAAAGTGAAAGGAGTCTCTTCATATAAAGGTGTTGATTACATTAATTAATTCATAAATACTTGTTTTACTGGAGTAATGATTCAAACGAGTTTTTAAAAAGAAAGACTATTAGACTATACATATGTAGTTGTCTGATGTATGTAATCGTGATCTCCATTTTAAACAAAACAAAAACGATTTTAAGCCACATAGATTCCTGAATTGATTCCTGAGTTCACATATCGCGTCTAAAAATGCATGGAGAAGCGGGGCCGCGCTAGGGCCGCGCCGCTTTCTCCTCCTTTCCACAAGCGCTTGCGCTCCCGTGGCGTCTGTCGTTGCTATGCAACCATGAACTGCGCTCTCCATGATGCAGACGAGGACGTATCAGCAAAGGATTAATTGATTTATAGCCCTCGCATTAGCTTTACTAGGCTACTAGATATATTTATGGAGATGAGAAATAAAAACATGCCCTGTTCAGCTATGATCAGCTGTTTGGCCGAGCTTTCGATGTCACAGAAAGGTCGTTGTTTTTTGTCACATGACCTGCGCGCCTGCAAAAACGAGCGCCACGCACCGCATGCTCGTCGCTTCTATTATGAACGTGCTTGCCACGCGCCTACATTTGAAATAACGAATTTGCAACTGTCCCAAAGTCAGGAATCGATAAGAGGAATCGTAATGCGTGCTTCTTATCGAATCCCCGGTTTTGGGAAATTTGTTACCGGTTCTAAAATGGAACCGGTTCTCGATACCCAACTCTATTTACTATAACTAAGTATTAAATATGCCAAATTTCTGCCCAAACTATGGTAAATTACTACAGTACATTCATGGTAAATATTTGTAAGGCTGGTGATTAAGGGATTTAAAGTCTTCTAATTCATTCATGGCACAATGTTTCTGCTGTTTACCTCATCAGTCGCGTTGGAATGTTGAGGCTGTTTCATCCGATTTAAAACTGTTAAATCATTGAGTGATTTGTGGCTTGTAACAGACAGGTGTGTTGAATTGAACCGCTTCTCACTAGATGTATCAACGCTGTTAAATAATAGTGTCCGGGACCGGGAGTAAACGCAACTCCTGTAAGCTTGCGTTCCGTTATACACTATGCTGCGAAGTTCAAAGTAAACTTGAGAAACGTTTCTCAGTTCAGTCTGAGCGCTCATGGTACGCAGAATACGTATATCCGTACAGCTGCAGGCGCCACTGCGCCACGCGCATATCTAAACAAATTTAACCGCACCACCAGGATAAGAGGAGGAGGGCGGTTGGGGGCCGGATGGAGATGATTGGCATGTGGCCCACGGGCCGCCAATTGAATAGCCCGGACATAAAGTATACTTAAAAATATACTTGAACTTTACTTAAAGTGCGTATGTCAGGTTAAATTTGTAATTAGGATTAACACAAAATAGTTAGGGGAAATGCACATTTGACAAGTTGTTGTATTGTTTTGTATGATTTTCGATACCTAAAGGCAGAATATAAGATGAAAAAGTTCGTTATTTTCAGTACTCACTTAAAACTGCTCCTCCGCCCAAACGGATCGCTTGACGTCATAAGAGGGAGACGTCTCCCCAGAGCGCTGAGAAAGTGAGTCTGTGAGCTGTGTTGATAATTGTACGAGTGATAGAGCGAGAGAATTAGTGATTAGGATATTTATTTATTTAGTTAGCTATTTAAGTTAGGTAGTTAGTTAGGTATACGCAGGCGTATTTTCACAATGGTGAATTACTGCGTTTGTGCTGGGTGCTAAAACACAGTTAAAACCGGTCACAGAGTCCACTTTTCCCCAAAAAAGCAGGTCTGTGTTCCGTGCCTGGGTCAACTTTGTTCGTACCAAACGCGTGGACTTCAGTGCTGCTTCGGTATCCAAGATTTCGGTCATTTGCAGCGCACATTTCTTCCAGTTTTTATGTTTCCACTGTTCGATCGCGCCCGCGTGTCTGTCTCTCTCTCTCTCTCGCGTCTCTCTCTCTCGCGTCTCTCTCTCTCGCGTCTCTCTCTCTCTCTCTCTCGCTACTTCAGTGCTGCTTCACACACACACACACACACCAACACCAACATATTCCAGCATTGCAATCTTGACATCGAAGCCTGTTCATTATAGCCACGGAGCTTCAGAGCTAAGGCGGAGCTACAGATTATGTGTCCCTAAATAACCCGCGTATCTAACAGTAGTTCCGCATTAATTAATTTGCACGCGAGTTTTATTTATTTTTATACTCGTGTATTCTTATTTATTTTTATACTCGTGTATTCATGCACTGAACCGTGACGCCCGTACCGTTTCGGTTCAATACGAATACATGGTTCCACCTCTAAGTTATGCCTACCGGTATATACACCTGCCCAACTCTCCACTGGTTATCTTCACACCAGATATTTATGTTTCTTCGATAGGAATTATTTAAATTTCTGTTTGCCTCCTCATCTGTCTCACGCCTGGGAGGCTCAAAAGTGTATGGCTGTGGGGGGATTTTGAGGGGGATTTTGGATCTGCTCACAGTGCTCAGAGTCAAAACTCCCCATTCTTGAATAGAACGTTTGTGGCACGACTCCCTCTTCTGACGTCACAGCTCAGCTGTGTTTTAAAAATATGATCTTGACAGAAATGGCTATAAAGCTTACTGTAGGGTAATTACAGTAATAATTTTAATGATAATTACATTTTCACTCAGACATCTAACCCTTATTTAATATATCTAAAAAAAAAATTTAACCTGACATAGACACTTTAAGTATACTTAATAAAATGAACTTGAAGTATACTTAATTTTGGTAGGGGAACTCAAAGGTTGCGGGTTCAATTCTCACTATTGGCAGGAAATGACTGAGGTGCCCTTGAGCAAGACATCTAACCCTCAATCGCTCCCCGGATGCCTCATGGCTCCCCACTGCTCCTGTGTGTGTCCATGGTTTGTAGTGTGTGTGTGCGTGTTCACTACTCACTGCTCCTAAAGTGTGTCTTCCCTAACTTGGATGGGTTAAATGGAGAGGACAAATTCCGAGTATGGATTACCATATTTGGCCTTCACGTCATGTCACTGTAGTTTACAACAGCTGGCAAGCATGCAAGCAGGCCAGGATTTTTTTTTTTTTTTTTGCTATTTCAGCAGTGGGACAGGTGTAATGCGCCACACATTATTATGTCTGGGTGCAGACCAGTGCCGAATAGTAGAAGGGATAATTTTGCTTGATATTTCTTGGTATCTATTTTATTTTATTTTTCACGAGTTCACACAAATAAGCCAGATAGAATGAATGGTATGCGTATGTGGTGTGCTGTCCGAGGAGAGGGCTCTGACCTCGGTATTTGGCCCAAACCCAGAGTACTCCCCCCGTATTCCTGGCTGTGGTAGGAACAAGTGGAGACTGATGAGTCGGGGTGATGGAGGGATGCTGAAAACTGTTGAGGAATGTAGGCGAGTCGACTATAGGCTTCCTCTCACGCTGATAGACGTGATAATTGCTGATGACGAGTTGATTGGATAGATCATTTGAATGTGCTCCACCCGAACTTCGTTAATAAAACATCATTTAATGTCGTGTGAATCTCATGAAAACATTTTCGATTTTTTCACATTATTTTTAAAGACAATTAAGGACTTAAAGCATTAAGCGGTGAAACATTTGCGATGTATAAATGTATGCATATTTGCTTTTAATGAATTTGTTTAAAAGTGTAGTAAGCGATTTTAACCAATCGGCAGTAGGGGGTGTAAACACACTCATGATGGGGGAGGAGAGAGTAATAACCAAGTGAGAGATTTGAAGAAAACTAAAAAGAGATTGCTGAGAGACATTACAAAATAGAAAAGGTCAGAGGAATGTCACTGGAAAAAAAAGGTTTGTGATCAGGCGAGAGCTTTCGGGCCTGGTTAAGCCTGCGGATTTACTTCAATGTAACTTGAAAATATCTTTCTATCTCTTACAGTATTTGCATATGTGGAAATTTTGCCCTCTCAAAATTACTGTTTTTAAATGTAAATGTACTGCTATATGTATGCAGTAACTGGCTGTATACAGCATGTATACGGTCATTACAAGTATTACTGTAAATACCTTATTATCTTTTAGGATATTGAAGGTTATCTTTAATGAACTAATATCTTGATTACAAAGCCACCAACAATTACATGAGCCACACAATCATACAGCCACTTCTCTAATAATAGAGGTCCAGATTATTGGATTATCCTAAATGACTTGCAGATTTTGAACTCACCTTATATTTTAGTTTATTGAGAAGCCTTAGTAGTTTCTGAGACAACTTGGCCACACTCTGGATTTCAACAAACAAAACATTCAGTTCCAATGCATAACACGCAAGCGTGGACCTGGAGCAGTTCTGCTAAAGGAGATGACACAACAATTAATACCCTGTAGTAGCGGTGATGCTTAAAGACTGCATGTTCAGACTACAAAAACCAAACAGATTTGAATGGGCAAAAAAAGTTTTTCGCAAGGTCTATGAGAGCAGCATGAGCATAATTTAGAAAAAGCATGAGATTATTTATTAGATATTGCCAGGCTTTATATTACTGTATCTGTGGCTGCCTACAAGCTGGCTTTGCTATTGATTGGATGAGCTCTCAAATGGACAACTAATGGCCAATATTTGAAACAAATGAATGAAATGCATAATTAACAGCACGTCAACAGCGCTTAGTCCGTTGTGATTTATAAGGCATTAAAAAACAGCTTTAGTAGCAACATTGCAGACACACAGATAACATGAATTAACAGTACCAATTTGCCATAACACTAATTGATAAGAGTGATATCTGTGTGTCCTTACTGTGAAATGCACTGACCTGTATGTATTCATTACAAACATATTACACAACCTCTTCAAAAAAGATTCTGAAATATATAAGCGAATGATTACAAGACAAGTTCTCTACTGCAAATCTTGAGTAAACTAAAGGTCAACAAAAGAATAAACAAAGGACAAAAATGTCCCAACTACATGTCAACTTATTCTAACCCTAACCCTACCAGTCTACTAATACTCTACTAACACTCTAATGAGAGTTAGTAGACATGTAGGTGCAACGTTACTTATAGTCAACAGAATGTGTTAAACTGGGACCATCAAAATAAAGTGAAACAAAAAAAAACACTATATCTTGACACCAATTTTAAAGCAATTAAAGTAAATGATCAGTTATCTGATGAGTAATTATATCACAGGACAAAGATTCAAATGTGCCTTCAGGCAACTGCACAACAACCTAAGACCTAGAAAAGATTTTTTTGGCAGCATATTCAAAGGATACTGACAACTAATGATAGTGTGTAAATCACATACCTCATAATCTGCTACAGCTACAGTTGGTGTGTACAGCATGCAATCGTTGTCCTGTCATAAGAGAAACCACACATTTAACAGAAGCAGAACAGACTAGACAGGAATATCTGTCAATAACTCCTGAAGTAAAAAATAAAATAATGTTTCACTATGTACCACTTTGCTCAGCTCCACTGCAATCTTTTCCACCATCTCCACACTCTCTCTGCTGCATATTGATACACACTTGATCTGTCTTGTCAACATGATCAGCAGATACAGAAATAATGATGTGAAACACATGGAATAGTGGAGTAAATCTGTCCTCATATCAAATATCCAGCTGCCCCTTAGCACCAGATTTGTCATCAGGCCTAGAAAGAGATAGGGCACTCTGAGTGGCTACCTACATTTCAACCTCCCTGGGGTTTGGCTTATTAGGTACAGAACGAAGCACATGGGTGAAGACACATGCTGCTGCTGCTGCCTCTAATCTAAAGAAACAATAGAGAGAAAAACAAATACAGATTAATATAATTAACAGAATTATTTCTTAAAAATATACTTTACTTTTATACTTTATTGTCAGACGAGTGTGACATTTTTCTTGCATAACAGTGTCTATGTTTACAACATCTAACATACATTCTTCATCGACATACACTTAAACATCACATATATACTTTTTTTTTGCAAATGCAAATTTGCAGATGCAAAAAAATAAGTGTAATTGTCACATTCATTATTGTCTCCTATTTATTATTTTATATAATATGCCTGTTCCATTTCAACAAACTATGCATTTGACAAATAAAATTGACACTGACTTAATACAGAGATAACTTACATTTTTTAAACTACAGTTTGTCAGCAGCCCAGTATAAACTGCGGTTATACAAATGGTAATCAATCTGCCAAAAACAAAACAAAAACATGGGTACTACGCTTTTACTATAATAAAACCATGGTTTCTTTTCGTAGACCTTTTTGAATTAGATAACCTGTACCACCGACCTACCTCATCAAACATTTATTGAGTGAAAAGATTAACACGTCCATAGACCGAATTGCACAACCACGTGTAATCATTATGTAGAATGGAAAAGCGTGTTTTCATCTGCCACAACTCCAAGAAAAGCAAAACATTAGTCAAATGTTGAGATCCGTGTCTCCGGCTACTTTCTGCAGATTTGACGTTGCATTACTGTATCCCTCTTCATGACTACAACGGCGTAGTAGTATAATCTCGACTGAAGTGCAGTGAGTGCAGTGGAGTTTATATAGCGCCTCGTGATTGGGCTGGACTGTGATGCCGTCATACATATGCATTGGAGCATACGAAACTGAAAGGACGTTATGTTTAGTAGGCTAATCACGCGATTTGCCTTTTGTGGGTCATGCTAAAAACAGGAGTGAAAATTAAGTGTTCTTGTCGGGTTTTTTTTCGGTATTGGCTTACATTCTCTTTTATGTCATCGCATTGAATTAATTCAATTGAATGAACCAATTCACGAACAAGTGGATTGTTTTCCATTTGTTCGTGAATAACTTACTCACGGGTCCTTTAAGAAATCGAATCCCCTCCTGATAGACTGTAAAAGCTCTGACTCAGCCCGCTTTTTTCTCTCTCTCTCTCTCTCTCTCTCTCTCTCTCTCTCTCTCTCTCTCTCTCTCTCTCTCTCTCTCTCTCTCTCTCTCTCTCTCTCTCTCTCTCTCTCTCTCTCTCTCTCTCTTTTCTCAGCCCGCGAGGTTGCAGACCTGGAGCCGGTAGATGTCCGGCCCCAGGCAGTTTTACGCCCCTGTTGTTCCTGATGCGTCCAGTAGGGGGATAAACTGCGAAATATCATAATTAAATCGACGCTCGAAACCACCAATTTTGTGGTTTTTGTTCATTTAAATATAAGTTTTAGCCTACAGTGTAGATCTGCACTACGGATTAAAATATCTGTATTCAGTTGGTCTTCACTCTCTTCACGGCAGCCAACAGAAGACTATTTGTTTTTGTGAATTAAAAAAATTAATTATTAAGAAATTAATAATAGCTACACATAGTTGGATCAGATGACAAGTAATGATATACTGTATAACCTACTGTAGAATTTATATTCACCGTAGGTTATACAGGAGACTGAGTGAAATATGTTGTTGTGAATTTATATAAAGTTACATTTAGATATGAATCATATTTAGGCCATTAGACATACAGTACTGTGTAATCATATGGATCCTTGATGAAATATCTGCTGTACTATTCTCTATTGGTCGTCATACAGCGACAAAACAGTGTCCTATAATTTTATGAAGACAAACACAATTTATCCCTTTTCTAAAATTCCAAGGGCCATTTAGAAGAAAGAGACAATTGTTCACAAATTGTTTTTTTATTAACACCATTTATGAATTATGATGACTCCCGTAGATGACTCCCCTATGGCTTGCCACTCTTCTTTATCTGTTTTTCTATCTGTCAAATTGATCCTGCTCACTGATGAAAATGACTTAAACATAATTTTTTGGTGAGTGGATTGCATCAATTTGCTCCTGATCTTCAAGGTACAACAGCACAGGCACTTGTTGGTGGAACAATAGTGGAAAAAGTGTCAAGCCACTTTGATTTCTTTTGGCCAGAGAAAATTGAAAATGGCATTAAAACATGTCCATGTATGTCTCTGTAAGTTGTTTATTTACAAGCTATTGGTTTGGAATGCTAGTTTAAAAAAGAGATGGGTGTTTATAGTTTATACAAGTTTAGAGAGAGAGATATTTTCATTTCCTTATAAGCTAAAGCAAACACACACCTTTATGAGATGAAAGTTAAAGAGAACTTGGTAAAGATCTGTTAATTAGTTGTTTCTATTGAGTGATTTTCAAAAATGAATAGAAAATTCTCTCATTTTAAATTTAAGGAATTCCCACTTAGCAATATAAGATGTTAGAGAATCATCGTTCATAACCTTAGAGATTATATTTTTGATACCATCATAAAATGATTAGCATTTTAATAGATTAGAATTAAATTTCCAATACCCTTTATTATTGCCGTTAACACCAGAAGGATTGAAAACTGACTTAATAACAGAATGATCTGTGAGAGGTGCTGCTGACATACAACAGTCAGAAACAATATTTATCATGAGATTAACCAGAAATCTATTCTTGACTTTGCTTAATCCCCTAGCGTTAAGTGAAATACCTGAAAAACAAATATAATAGCCTACACAAATAAACATGCAACTGTAAGTCGATGCAGTCCTAGTCCAACAGACGGACCCTATAAAATGAAGTCGTCAGAAAAGGCAACAATAGGAAAAAACCTTGAAAAAAGCTAGTCCCTCAAATTCCTATTCAATAACTGTATAACTGCCATCCATTCTGATTGTGTCCTTAAAAAACAGACAGAAGACCATTTTTGTATTTAACGCAACAGGCCCTCTTCAGTACCTCATGATCTCAAGTGATTCTCTGTCCATTGATGTATCTGGCACCACCTCTGTAGTTCGCACGTTTGCCGGCTGCTCTTGCTTGCTGTATCTTTGGCCAAAACGCTGCCCGCATCTAACTATCAGCCTTACAGAAATCTTCCAGGAAGCCGAGTCCAAGATCTTTGCAGATGGTGAGGTCTTTGGTCATCCACCACAAAGCGTCTCAGTGTATTCTTGAATTGAATGATGACGTGCCTTGTTTTGTTTTCTTCACGTCTACCCACGCGGTGGACTGAATCAAAGATGTGGTTGATGTTCGGGGACCATGATGGGGAGATTTTCACCAGCAAGTCGGTAACCACCTTGCGTAAATCTTCGCTTTCCTTTTATTTTATTCCACGAATCCTGAGATTCCAGCGGCGCTTGTACCGTTCTAATTCTAAGACCCATTCCATTAGCTCTGCGTTTGTCTTTCTTTAATGCCGAAACTTCTCGACCAGTAGATTGTAACTGATTTACAGTCTTGAATTTCTGCCGCGTTGAACTCGACAGCCTTTGCTATAGGCTACTAGCTAGCATGGGGGCGTTTTGCTGTAGTTGAGAGCCAAATGAATCCACTTTGTCAGTTAGACGCTTTATAGCATCCAAGATGGCATTCATGCCTTCTTTACCTTCTGACCCATGTTTTTTTTTTTTTGTTGCTGACGGATTCTTCATCGGCTAGAAGGGGTCTTTTCTTTTAGCCTTTTCAGTGTACTCTTCCATCCTTACGGCATAATCATGGCAATCCACTGCCTCGTTGCAGCGGGTTAGAATAGAATTATTTTTCGATGTCACGGTGTACTTATTTCTCGGTATTTACTGTATAAAAGTTAGAGGGCATAAAATTACATCAAATGGCATAATAATAACGAATGGATTACAGAACACAAATGCATCCGGTCCGCCATCTTGCCAGAACTCCTTGGACGACTTGCAACTTCCCGCACGATTCTGAAGTGTGCATACGATGGACACTTTACTATCCCATGAGGCCACAGGAGAGGATTTGTAAATGGCGGTGAAGCAACGCAACTGACGCTGGTATAGGTCACATGATAATGACAACATGGCGAACGTAGCATGTCTGGATTACATTCATACTACACACATTCATACTATATAGAACGTACCTTTTTAGCGGTCGTGAGGTAATTATTAATACTAGTCAGGAGAGTTGGACGTAGCCATTGTCTATGTTGGATTTATCACTTCATTTTAATCTCTAGGCCAATAGCGTTTCAACTTACAGTCCACCTTAATGTGGAACAGGTAGCTTTTGCGACCAATTGTAAAGACCTTTCGGGACGCCCCCACCTTTTGGCATGCCCATTGCTCCAACCCACACTTGCTTAAACTTGCACTAAAACTTGAAGCATTAAAAACAAGTTACTAAAAACTCACTTCAGGTCATGCTTTTTTCCTTCTCTGGTCCCAGACACACCCATACAAAATCTACCATTGTATCACTTGTTTCTAAGCAAAATACCATTTGTTTTTACTAAAAGTTGTGGCACAATCACATATACACTATGAAGGTTTTATTTAGGTACAAATAACTGAGGGCACATTACAGTGTGACAATCATGTTTTTTTTTTTAAGTACAGAGAACAGATGGAACCTTTGTTTTCTTTACATAATGTGGCAGGCATGATGTGAAGCATAAAGGCCATAGGTAAACAAATCTGAGATATACTGTATGTTTAATTGGCTTAAGTATTAATTGATTGTGACAATCTCATTTAGAAATCAACAACGTATTACATTAAACATACACGATTTAAAACGGAATGTCCAAGAGTCCATTTGATCAGCATTACCTTGTCTTAGTCCACACCAGAGTACAGTTCTTAAGCATGATGGAATGCTTTTTTAATTGTACAGCAAACATTTTCATCAATGCAAAATATCAGATCAGATGTTTTGATGTTCGTATTAACATCAATCAAAGCAGCGATTCATGTTCCCTTTATTTTAAATGTCTTAAGCAAATTTGTATAGAACACAACATACATGAGAAAGGTTTGTCTGAAATGCACTATTTTCCAGACACGTCTGGACCACATTCGAGAAAAATGTGCAAAACAAAGAAACAAGAGTTAAGTGCCAGAAAACAACTATTTCATAAATAAGTTCTTTATATATCACAGCCAACTAAAAGCCTAAATGACAGAGCCTTTAGTAAAATTACATATAATGAATTTGCATATTACAGTCTTAAAGCAATAAAATAAACACTGCCAAAAATAGCAAAACAGTAATTTTATCTGTTTTACTGGTATCTTGGCCAGGATTGAGGGTTAAAAAATAAAATAAAATCACTGACCATAGCATCAACTGGCTGACACCCGTATTTTATTGTCCATGAATTTTTCCCCTCTGAGTGAAGTGGACTTGGATCTCTAAGCTGACTCCTCTTCTACATGCTAAAGTGCCAGATAAAGTGTCTTTGAAGAATGAGGCACCATACCAGACCTCAGGAGCGCACCACTCAAAGCCTTTTGCAGTTCTGCACTGAGAAGTTGCAGCTATTGATGCTGACCCTTCTCCTGCCCTGGCTATCTGCTACAGGGGACAGTGTTTGAGTCAGGCTGACTTGTGCATTGCTAAAGGATGCTATCCTCCCACTTCCGGCAATCTGCAAGTTGACGGTGGTGGCATAACTTGTTTTTAATGTTGTTTTGGACCCTTGATTAATAACACTATCTTCTGTTTTGCCCTCATCTGGGCAATGAATGGGAGTCTCTCTCTCATTGGGGCTGACTGGAGCAACGTAGGGACAGATCAGGGTGCT